TGATGGTGTTGATGCATCATCTTTTTTCATGTTTAACAGTGAGAATAATAGAACTAGGGGACACAAATATAAATTTTGGCAGGGTAGGAGTCTTCAGCTAAGACAGTTTTATTTTTCTAACAGGGTGGTTGTCCTTTAGAATGTGTTGCCTTTTGTTGTTGTGTAGGCAGTAAACTTAAGTGAGTTTAAGAAATAGCTTGATAAGTATATGAATAAGGGCTAGCTTTAAGGATTTTTTAAAAATTGATTTATTAATAGTTTTAGTTTAGAGGATGGGACAACCGAGATGGACCAATAGGTTAAATGTCTCAAAATGATATATTAAATGTTGAATTCCTTTCACTTGCATGAATTCAGGTTTGAATAAAAGCATTTAAAATGGAATAATGCTTTAAAGTCTTATAATAGCTAATTCCCATAAACTTGTTACACTGACTCAGTGGCTACTTATATAGGGATTTTTGTATGGTTTTGTGTATTTATTCCTACTTTGTTCCTGTATTTTTTGGCATTGCCATCCCTACATCATCCTGATTTTTGTTTTAATTTTTTTTGTATTACTTGTAATTAAGTAGCGTGGACTTGGCATGCATATTTTGTACTGAACAATATAAAAGAACCCTCTCAACAATAGAAATCATTCAAACACTAATGTGTCAGAAGTGGATTATTTTGGTAAAAATAAAATCAAGACTCAGCTCCAAGAAAACAATATGTTCTTGAAACCTGATATAAAATTTAATAGAAATGATGAAACATTGAAAAAAGATCAAGAAGAAAGTTACAAATAATTAAAAAAGATCAAGGAGAGATGAAAAATTAAGAGGAAATGGGCATATTGGAGAATGGGATCATTGAATAATTTATTATTGTTTAATCACTTCAGTGTACCTGTGGCTTTGAAAGCAGATAAAAGCCTTCAGAAAAGAGAAACTGCTCCTCCAAAAAAGATGACAAGAAAAGGAAGTTGTTCTAAGTTGGAAAACATAAAAATTATAACTGAAACAATGATGAATCAACCATTGATAATAAAGTAAGTAGATGGTATCCTGAAAATGAGGATATTATGTCTGACCCTGTTGCAATAAATAGTACATTATTTAACAAAACCAGTACACAAGTTAACAGATTCATTAATGGGAAGACTTGTAACATATTGGTTAATATTAGTTCTACAGTTACCACTTTTCAACACAAGCCCGTAATGAAAGGTGGGAACTTGTCTCCAGGATTGAAACAAAAGGATGGATTGATGCAAACAGTCAAGTGATCATAAAATTCCAAAAGTTGAAAGTCACTATCACAGAGGGGTGCATCACTACACAATTTAAAGTTAGATTTGCTTTAAATCATTTCATAGTTCATGACCAAGAAATCCTGTGTACTACATGATAATTACATCACTATAGGTTGGACTTTTAGTGGCAACAATGATAGAAACACAAGAAAATGAAAACATTCAATCTAAAGTGCAACATAGCAGAAACCTTAGAGACAGGTAGTTCAAACCACAAGTCATTCATTGTGATTATCTTTAAAGAAAGATTCACCAGAAGTAAGTTAAACTGCTAAAGAGCTCAATTTTCTTCTCATGACCACTTCCACATTACCACCAGTGGATTCCCTTCACAAATTACCTGAAGAAATTCCTTCAGTGATATGACAGCAAATGTTGATAAAGTGCAGATTTCATCTCATCTTCTGTTGTTAATTGTCAAGATTTACTTTATTGTTACCAATGAAAGTTTAAATTTAATGTATTGTTTTGTTTCTTTGTGTAATGGGATTGTTTCAGGGACTTAATATTCCATGGAAGAAACATTGTTGAAGGCTGTGTTTTAATGTTTTTAATTTACATGTATTCATTTGGCTATAGGTGAGAGTAGCGTGGTTGATTTAGTGGTGGATTGATTATTGAGATGGCACAATGGTTAGTCAGTTGTCTGTCACTTTAGTTTTGTTAATATAGTGTTTATGTTTCAATAAGGTATTGGAGAGTCAAAAAAGTGTCATATGTATGAAAAAAGTTAGCAGCAAGTTAAATTATTGAACTTTAGCATCTACTATAAACCTATACCTGTCAGTGAACATTAGTTAAACCAACTTATATAACTAGTTATTGAAGAAATAAAGTGCTTTCATTATCATTAAATGAACTTGACTTTGCATTTTTCTCTTTACAGAATAATCCAAAACAAGTCAACATTAAATAGGAACCTTTATAACATACCTTCTGATAATTTTTTCTTCTTTAATTTGTGTTTGTAAATAAAACCTGGTTTTTGAATTATTGTATTTGTCTTTATTATTCCAAAGTTACATGTTGAAAAGCCCACTTACCTTCACTAGATCCTTTAAAATATACTTTATTGTAAACTGTTAATGGTAATTCCAAAGATAAAACACACCTCCATTATCTCATTAATTCCATTAATAGTTTTTGTAAGTGAAAACCCAAACATTTTGATATTGTACGTCTTATTTAGTACCTGTTCAAGTAGACAACTTGTTTATAAAAACACTTGATCAAATAGAGAAGCAAAGTGTTAAAAATAAAGTATATTACAGTCATGTGTGAATGATGATTCATATAAGTGTAACAGAAAGATTCTACATTTCATTTTTCTGTTTTCTCTTTGAATCAAATAATCTCATCTTTGTTTTGTTGTTGTTGGTTTTTCAAAGAAAAATTGGTTAATTTTACAGTGAATGACTTCCGATAAGCTAAATGAAACATATAAATAAAAAAGCAAAGAAATATTCCAATCAACATTTAGAAAAGAGGAATATATGGCAACATTTGACTTATCTCTTGTAGTAATTTTAACTATTTCTTTATATATATTCATATTTTATCGTAAGTAATCTTCATATGTATTTTATTTTTACATAATTCTTTAATATATACAAATAGAAAGTTTTTTTCCAGTTAAGAAGTTTCCAGTAACAGTAATACACATTATGGGAAGACGTAAAAGTAAAAGGAAACCTCCTCCGAAAAGAAAAGCAATTGAGGCATTGGAGACACAGTTCACATGTCCATTTTGTAATCATGAAAAGTCTTGTGATGTAAAGATGTATGTAGTAATTACATCTAACATAATAAAATGTTTGTTTTAAAATTCTGACTTCAAAATGTTTACGAAACATTTTCTATTTTATACATTGTAGGGCAGTTAGTTTTTATCCTAATGTAAAAATTTTTTTTTAAAATGTAAGGTGTATTTACAACCCTTTTGGCATATATTTAGTCAGTGTGAATAGAGTTTGTATTATAATAGGTAGTGCTGCAGCTATTAAGTCACTTTTTATTTAAGCTAAATTCTAAACATTTTAGAAACTGTTGTCAATTGGCTTTAATAATAATATTTACAAGTGTTGCATTGAGTATTAAAGTTTCATACATGTGGTGTTCTTTGTAAACACTTGTATTAAGAATGTTCTTATCTTTTTAATCATAGTCATTTTTCTGATAAGATCAGTAATATTAATTAATTTTTGTGACTGATATAACACTTTAAATATATAGAATGTTAAACTCAGAGCATTTGGCTCTGCAAGTTTTTTTAGCTTTTATCAATATTTTTAAGATCTATATTTTATTCCAAAAAACATATTCAGATGACTCTCAGGCAGGAGATTTACCTTATCCTCTAAACTGTTTTTGCCCAACTATTATTGTACTCCTTCTGTTTTGTGTTTCTTATCAGTGTTACAGTTTATTTTGTTCTGAAGTTTTCTCATTAAACTATATTGGATTTATAGTCGAATGTTCATTGCACTAAGTTAAACCATGTTAATGCAGTAGGTAATGTAATTTCTTGTAGTTGCTTTATTATTTTTAAAAATAAAATCTTGAATAGATAGTGATAATAATCATGAGAAATAGTCTGTAAAGAAAAATTATGTTTGTAATAATATATTAGAAGAAAAGGAACTTTTATTAAAAAACGTGAATTATGTAATTAATAACTATTTTGAAATAATATATTGTTAAGATGTGTAATTTAAGATTATTTATATTGTTAAAAAAATACTTTTGCAAAATATGTTTTTTTAAATAAATTTCCTGATCTGATATCTTGCCTCTCTTCACAAAATTCAAGCTTTCTCGATTTATACTGCTCTCTATTGGCGCAAATTGTTGCTTGCTACTAGCCCTGATGCTTCGACTTATTTCTGCATACTAATATGCAAATAATTATGCAGCAACCTTCCACCTATAGGAGTGTGACCTATCCTTATTGTAACTAGTGCCCTCTCTAATCTTACAGCTGTTAACCACTTTTTGCTGGGCAGTCTTATTGAATAGATGTGTTTTTGCTGGAGGTTTGATCAACTTTCTACAAGTTTTTACTTTCTTAATTTTTCTACTTCAGTTCAATTGTTATTTACTATTTTAGTTCTTTTTTCATGGAGAGTTAAGATTTATTTTATTTCTCTTCTTTTCTTTTTTTATTTCGAGAATTATGCACTCACAATTTCTAGTGGTCACGACTACAACTGCTGTTACTGCTGCAGCAGATTTACAGACCACATCTACAGGTCGGAGCTCTGGTTATAGGCCCATGACGTGATGGCTCTAGAACATTGTGAGTTAACCAATGTCACACAACATTCAGAGCCAACTGATGATTGTCCTTTCATTCCTGTTCAGGATTTGAGTGGTTGGGGAGATGAGGATTTCGACAGATTTTTTTTCTCCCTCCTGAATATACCTCTCAGTTGCATGTCATTTTGGGGAAATTGCCCAGACCTCCTCCTCCTTTTGTGGAATTCATTAATTGGGTATGTTCTGTTCTGTCCTTATATTCTGTTTCCTATTATTTTGCTTGTGTTTTCCAGTCACCAGTTCTTATCCCTGATGTTTTGTTCCTTCTGCAATTCCTGTCCTCCCCCACCATGCTTCCTTCCTTGATTGGAGCCTCATTGTGGTCCTACATTCTCATAATAACTAACATGAGTAAAGCAGACGTGGATCGTTGGCCATCTCTGATGATTGTGGTGTTTCAAACTTGTCCTATCATGGATCTGATGTACAATTCCAGATGATGTCAGGTGTTAGATGATGCACCCTGTCAGTGTGATTGTTCTGCTTTTCAATATAGGGTTTTGCAGTCACTCATTATACTGTCTCCATTGTTGCTGTCCTCAGTACTCTCCAATGTATTATTTCCCTCCTTCTAGTGGAATATCAGAGTTCTTGCCACTGACCAGTTCCTAGCTGCTGGGGTGGTGGACCATGAGGCCTGTCCTCCACAGTATGTGTAATTCCACTCAGTTGAGAGTAGAGTGATGGAATTCTCCCAGTTTAGTTGGCATGATGTCCTTCCTACTGCAGCTCTGATGTATAATTCCAGAAGCCACTAGGTGTTGGAAGTAGCACTACATTATATATATATATATATCTACTGGTTGCCTGATGTTGGTGCATGGAGATCTGGGGTTGGTGGAGCCAGACCAGCCACACAAGTCCTCACATCTGTTTGGATAGTTACCCTCCTTCTACTGTGGACTGGACGATACATTCCCAGTGCTGCCAGGTTTTGGACAAGAGATGCAAACTCATATAGCTGTCCCTCTTCCTACTTTCCACTGAATGTCCACTGGGATCTGGTGTTGTTTGAAGCTGGAGGAGACATATGAATTTCTGCAGGTGTAAGGTTCAGTACCTTTGTCCTACCTCAGATTGGATGAAACATTCCCAATGCTGCTAGGTTTTGGTGTGGAGTTTTACACACACATGGCCCCTCCACCTTCCTACTGTAATTTCCCGGTGGATCTGGTACTGGTTGTGTTTGAGGTGCATGCCTATGGAGATTGTTTATTGATATGGAAGCTCCTACGGTAGAGGATTCTCTTCCTACTGTGGACTTGATGTACAATTCCAAATGCCACCAGGTATTGGTTGAGGTCGAACTCCCATTTTTGGTCTGTTGCGCCATAGCTACTCTACACTGTGGGGGGCTTCTCCTTTGTTTCCACCTGTTTAGTGACATTACTTACAGGCGATGTGTATACTCGGCTCAGAAGTGGTGGGTTCTCCCATGGGTGTGTTGTTTTTAGTTCCTTCTCACACCCCATGATCCTTTTTTTTGAGTGCTTCCTAAAGGGAGATCATCTTCTCATCGGCCTTCCACCTGTTCAATGTGGGAGTCTCGTTTTTGAGAGAAGAGTTAAGATATCTTATCAGAAGTTAATATTTTCTTAAACTGCAAATGTATTTCCAATAGATACTTAATTCTGCTTACATTTCCCACCCATCCTCCCCACTTCCGATGTGGTTTGGTGGGATATGACCAATCTTGAAGTGGTTAACAGCTGCAAAATTAGAAAGGGCACTAGTTACAATAGGGGTAATGTTGCACTCCTGTTGGTGGAGGGTTACTGCATAGTCATTTGAATGTTAGTATGCAGACATATGTGGGAGTATCAAAGGTAGTGGCAAGCATGAGGTGTTAATGTTTTGATTGTTCTTAGTGTTGAATAACATAATGTGTTGAGACAACATGGGATCTGTTGGTCCATCTCTGCTGTCCCATCTTCTAAATAGAAACTATTGATAAATAAATTTAAAAAATCATAAAGCCAGCCCCAATTATTCATACACTTATCAAGCTTTCTCTTAAACTCATTTAGATTTACTGCCTCCACAACATCTGAAGGCAACCCATTCCAAAGGTCAACTACCCTGTTAGAAAAATAATACTGTACTAGCAGAAGATGAGTCCTACTCTGCCAAAATTTATATCCCCTAGTCCTATTATTATCAATATTAAGTATGAAAAAAAAAGATGAAGCATCAACACTATCAATTTCCCTTTACAATCTTAAACACCTCAATCAGATCCCCTCCGACTCTTCTTTTTTGAAGAGAAAACAGTTTTAGAGATTTCAACCTCTCCTTCTATGACAACCCCTTCATCCCACACACCCGTCTCTGAATCCTTTCCAACAATTCAATTTCTTTCCTAAAGTAAGGAGCTCAAGACTGAACATGGTATTCCAATTGAAGTCAAAACAGCACCTTACAGAGCAAGCTCATTACTTCATTTGACTCGTATCCATTTCTTAGCCATGCAACCAAAATTTTATATTATTTTCTAAAATGTTATGACTAAGGGGAATGCTTCAGCCCCCAAATATTCCCCGTTGTTTCATTCATGTACTTATATCTTAATATTTTTATTATAAATACATGATACATTTTTAATAGCATTTTTTCTTTTGGAATAATGAGTAAAGTATTTCTTACTTTAAGTGTTCTGAATTTCACACATAAAATATGATTTGATAGATATTTTCAAATCTAATTACATTTTCTAATGTAGTTTTTATTTTGTATATTTTGGTAGTGAGTTCACAGGTTCTTGGTATTGATTACAATAATGCAATTTTAAATATATATATATCTGTGATGTACAATACATGTGTTTAGAATGTATGTGGAATTGTGTTCATTTAATATCTGTTGAAGTTGTGTATAGTAAGATGCTCATCTACCATTTCTAGAATTCCTTTTGAAGAAATAAATCTTGTCAGTCTTTATTATACATATGGATCATGTAAGTTGATGTGGATTTGAAAGATGTTTTTTTAGTTAGTTTATTTATTATGTTGGACAAGTCTTAAATCCTATATGCTAATATCTTTAAATCAAGCACACCCATTTAGAAAGTTAATACTTGTGAAAAAAAATAAAAAATATTGCCAATTTTCTTTCAGGGATAGACAAAGAAATACTGGACAGATTACATGTAGAGTATGTATGGAAGATTTTCAGACATCAATAAACTGTATCCTTTATATTATGTAAGTGTTCTATTTTAACAACTATTTCATGGTGAAACTAGCATATGTTTTGAAAAAATCCCAAAATAAATATTTAATAGCACATTGTTTGGAACTATGATATCATAGTAGCAAAACGTGATTTTTCTTAATAGTTGGAAATTTGTTTGGTCATTTGTAATAAATATTACATGTAAAATTAAATGAACAAAACAAATAAAATTGCTTGTTTCTGAAGCAAAAAATCACTCTCATTTGTAATGGTAGCAAAGTAATTAACTTGACTAGTAACTAATAAAAGCATATATGCAGGATTAAAATAGATGGTGTAAAAATAATGAGGGATTTAAATTTTAGAAAAGAGTGTGTGTGTGTTTCAGTTCAACACATGTGTATACACCTGAAACCTTAATATTTATTCTAACAAACTCTTGACAAAAGTGTTATTATTACCAAAACCAATCAGTCTTAAATCTATTTTAGTTTTAATAATCTTATATGATTACCACTATTACTCACTGATCTTGAATTAACTAATTATTAATTTAAATGTCATATTCAACAAGATGATGAAAAATGAAGGCTCTTACCAACTTAGCTAAGGTAAAACTATCAGTTCCTGCTATTAAACCATGTTTAACTTATCAAACTGACATGTCCAAGCAGCAGTTTTCTCTCACAAACTAAATTTCTGTCTACTAATGTTAAGTTTGTAGGTTTTTTAGTTGAGCACCAGTTCTTCATTAAGTCTCACAAACAAATGCCTGTACTGTGTAAGGTAAATGATTAATCCATCAACTATAGATATTGTTACGTCTCTGTTCGTTAGTTAATTTTCCGTAAAAATTCTTACCGAAGAAACTTTACCGATACAAGTCCTTTCTTAAATAAAACTGGTTTATTCTCTCTGAATACAACTTTGCGGTACACTTAGTTTCAACAGTCACTCTATAGCAAACGCTATAATTCACAACGAACTTCTCACGTGCTCAACAATATTCTCTCTGACTAGTTCAGTTACTCATTCACTGTCCCATCACGTTGTGACCGTCTTATATATACAAGACTAACACATATCTATTAAATGCTAGAGCATTCATGAAGGAACAGGATATTTCTAGAAGGATGTGGCGTGATACTAGTCACATGACCTCAATGATGCAACAATATTAAGGTATCTTTCTTAAATATTGAATGTTTACTTTTATAATATGTTTGTTCCTAAACATATATTAACAAACAGGAATAACTGCTACCTGTATAGGAACACTTGTGTTAACAAGTTAAATTAGTTACTTGTAAACCGTAATGTTTTTTGTTTTGTTTCTTTAATTTGTGTAAAAGGTTTTTATGAACTGTTTTACTATTATGTCATAAACAATATCTCTAGTGGATCTGAAATTCTTAATATTTTAAAGTCCTTCCCAGAAATCCCTAAAATTTTATAAATAGCTCTAATCCTAAAATTAAAAAGAATTTTTATTCTGATTATCTTTGGGTGTCGATTTGATGATGATATCAACTTTTTCTTAGTGTAAGTAATTGGTAGATGTTGTTACGTGTTAGAATTTTGGATAGTGCGAAGCCGAGTTAACTTATAATTTAAATATAGTAGTTAAATTGTACTTTGGATTTAGTATTTAAACATATACTGATATTTTAGTCAATTTACGATATTTGCCAACAAGATTGATACACACCGTTTTTGTTTTTAACACAAATACGTTTTAATATACACACAACAATACAATTTACAATAACAATTATTACAAATAGTTATTACAAACAAAGATTTATAAACAAAAGTTTCACAAACTTGCAAACAATATAAAATATTCTTTCTAGTTTGGAACTCCCTTGATATCTTATTGAGGGTTTACTATGAGCGAGTTAATTATGAGTTGATGTACGTACGATTCGCTAGGAAGCTAGCTAGCTTTGTACTTGGCCACACACACTAGGTTTTCCACCATTAGTTATGTAATGTTTTCGTAAAAATATTAATGCCCGATGAGAATCCACTGAAGTTAGACGATTTGTAATGGTCGAAATTTATAAATATTCCTGGTCAAATAACTTAAGTTTTCAGATTGATAAGAATTATAAATATCACAGTTATAGCTTTTGAAGTTTATAGCACACTGATTATAGTAAACTACTAATAGACACACTCTACTTGGCACGGTGGTTATATTTATAGCTGTAGGAAGGTTTTCTAGAAAATTCAGTCTTACATAAATCAATACTGAGCTACATTTAAACGTTTACATATGGAGATATATTATTGATTCTAACTCTCGAGAATCTTCTACAACTTTGTAGAATAGGCGGGAGTTTCGCAATACATATTTAACACTATAGGCTATGCATGTTTTAAAATATAAACTAAATCTAAACAACGTTCATATTAAAATAAATACATAACAAATTCGTTACAATGTGGACTGAAAAAATATTGAGGTAAGTTGTTAATAAATAATCATACTCATCTACATCTCCAGACAAATGTTAACTAAGCTGGTCGTATCAATTAACTATATTTTAATAGTTTATTACTAATAAGTACTTTATTTCAAAGTATTCTTATTGCTATTAAAAGAATGTATTTCAACATGTTGAATGTTCACTGTAATGTTTCCTAATAAGTTCTTGTAACTCCCTAAATTTTTCTATGAATAGACCTAAATTTATTTGTACAAATAGTTTTCTTGGCTGGTAAAGCATGCAAAAGATCTGATGCTTATTTTATTGAATATTTCAAAATATGACTTGGTTTTGCTATTTTGTTCTTATGAGTTTTAAAGAACATGTAAGAAATAAAGCAAATGTACTAGATGATTATGAAAGAGATTTAAGAATTGAACAAAATTGACTGACCTAAATATTTAGTGTATTATAGCTTTAAAAGAACCACACTGTAGCTTTTGTGTATGTTTTAAATATAACGTTTCTAATGTTCTTTGAAAATCATTGAAGATGGTATATAAAAATATTTTAGGTAAATATATTGTAATAGAATATGTTGCAAACATCTCAAGAAATGCTTAGTCTGTTTTTACTAATTAAATATCTTAATAAACAAAATAAATTTAACTGTTTTGACTAAAACTTGTATAGCTTTATTTTACCAAATTCTTTCTCTTTTTTTCATATATTTATACTTGTTTGTGTTATGTGGTTGTGATATATATGGTATTATAGATTGTAAGTATGCTGAAATGAAACATTTTATTTCTGATGTATATAGATATTGTTCTGATACTTAACTTTGCACATTATTATAGTATATTGAATTTTGCAGATTTTCTACACTAACATTTTGTTATTTAATGTATGATTATAAACTTTTTGTTATTACAGAGACAATTTTATGCATTTTATCACAATTTTGCTAACGATTTCATGGATGATCCTACTTCATTAATTTTGGATTTTAACTCTTAATTAATAAAGCATCTTTGTTGCTTAAGCTTCTTTCATCATTACATCTTGCCAAAATCCTGAACAAATCACTCCTTACTCTGACATTATACTAATGCATGATATATTCTTTTATACTCAAGTTTGTTATCACTCAGTAGATTTGCATGTTCTCACACTCGAGTTAGAAGCTGTCAAGTGGTGGATCCTATATACCTAGTATCACAACTAGGACAAGTTAATTCATAAACAATATTAGTTATTTTTTGTGCAGAAATCTTATCTTTAAATTCAAAAAAAAATATGCTATCTACATTCAGGCTTGAAAATAACTCTGGTCTACTTGAGGGTAAACTATGGAAAAAAGGTTATTCAGTTGTCTTCTTACTGAAAGAAAAAAAAAGTTTCCCGCTGAATGGCAATACCATTGAGGTTGATAATTTTAGCACACTTATGATCTGTTGTTTTATATTTGAACTCTCCCTAAATACATTCTTATGATCTTGTTTGTATATATATATAGTACCTTAGTGGGGACAGACTGGATTAGTTACTGTCTGAATGATCTTACATAGTGATAGATTTAATCATTAATCCATATGTATTTGTTCTAAATGACCAGATATTTTTTTATGACAAACATGCATTTGATATAGATACAGGATTCAGTTATCCATAAATGACTATGAAAGTAAAGTAGGGGTTGATCATAACAGGAAACAAGGTGACAATTACTGAACACGGAACACCTGTATTTAGAGTGAATAACAATTCATGAACGTTTCTGTGTTAATGACCTTCACTTGTTATAGGCAGTTTTTCTGAGAAAGATCTTCACAGTAAGGATGAATATATAAGCTATAACAGATATCCATAGGTCATCAGAGTGATTATACTACACTCATATTAAGTCACAGTGCTTCAAAATGAAGATGCATAGAAATATCATTAACATGTGGTGTTTGCATATACAAGAAAATAAATGCAAGTGCAAACCTTGAAACCATGTGAGGGTAATGACATAATACTCCACTTTGATTATGCAATTTTTATAATTATTGATGACGTATAAAATAATAGGGTTGTTAAGTTTAATGTACATATAGTTGTTTTGTTTAACAGTTTCATGTCTGCCCTAACTAGTTTATAACCTTTCATTTATCATTTGGTAATGCATGCTATTAATATAGTAAGAAGTAATTATCAAATTTGAGTTTACTGCTGACTCTCTGTGGGACTATTTATAAGATAGACAAAGTCATAAGAGTTTATTTAGAAGGATCTTAGGTATCAAAACAGAGAGCATGAATACACACAAATTATTGATGTTAATGATATTGCCATTCATGGTTTTTAGTAAGAACATCAAATAGACTTGAGGTATTTTCAATCCTGAATGTAGACTGCAACTTTTTTTTAATATGGAGATTTGTGCACAAAAAATGTCTAATGTTGTTTATGAATTAACTTAGTCCAAATTATGATTCTAGGTCCAGGATCTACCACTTGATGGCTTCTAACTTGAGTGCAGGAACAGGCAATCCTACTGAGTGATAACAAGTCGGTATGTATATTAAAATGTCATGCATGATTATAATGTAAAAGTAAAGATTGATTTGTTTAGGAGTTTTGCAAGATGTAATGATGAAATAAATCTGCACATCAAAGAGACTTTATTACTTAAGCAGTTAAAACCCAAAATTAATGAAATAGGATTGTCCAGGAAATCACATAAATTTATAAAACAAACAAAAGTATGACTAAATGTATTTTACACCACATTTTTTATAGTGATCATACAGTGAGCAAAACATGTCAAGAAATAGCTTTTATTATTTTACACTATGTTATAAAACCACTAATCTTCAAATGCTAAATATATTGACAGCAAGATTTTATTGCAATAGCATAAGAGCTTTAGCAAGAACTAAATTTACATTATTAGTAAAGAGGACTCCAAGTTTTATACAAACACACGTGTGGTGTAGCACATTACTATTTTATATCTGGTATAAACCATGAAAGCAATAAATTTGACCTTAATAAAACTCCATGTGATACTAATGATTTCATATTTTTAAAGATGCCAACCTGTACTTTTGTTTAATGTGACTTGTCTTGTACCATCATCAGGAAATTTCCTTTAACTCCTGTACAGATCTGTCTGAACCAATTGATGTTTACAGTGATTGGATTGATGCTTGTGAAAATGCTAATCAATAAAGAAAGTGGATGTAAAGTTTGAAAATATATCTCATTTAATTACTTTGATCTGAATTATGAAAATCATTGTATGAATGCATTGGCCACTACCTTTTATCAGTTTTTGAGAAACTAAAATTAGAAGTTTCTCAAATGTAAGCAATTTAAATATGATGTTAACAAAAACTGATATCAAATCTTTATTACATTAACTTTATTAATTTTTTTTTTACCATAAAGTTTGTGGTACAAAAATTCTTTGTTTTTGTGTTTAGTAACTTTCAGGTGTGCATGTATAGTCAGTATTTGTTTCCTAAATGATAATGTAATTTTATAAATGTACAGTGGCAGTGCACTTTACATTAGGAGAAAAATGAGAAATGACAATTTAATATATATGTTTGTAATTTTTTCTATGGCAATTACTGTATTAATGGTTGTCATATTTTTTGTATTCAAAAACAAATTTTCAGGTATAGAAATGTATGCCTGAAAGGTCAATTTCTTAGTGAATGCACTTATATGTTATGATGAATTATGGAAAATATTTGATTTTTGGTGCTGGAGTCTCAAAGTTCCTATGAAATATATCAGATTCTATAAACTTGAAAGTTGCATTTATTCACTTTAAAGTTAAGAAGTAAATCTTTCCTTCATATACTTGGAATAATTAACATCTTGAAAGAACAATATAAATGCAGTTTTTTCATTTGGAAGTCTCTCACTCTCAGAAACATGGTCCATCAGATCAGAAGATGTCATCAATTGTTACTACTATCTTTCATTTAAGAATGAGTACACATTTTATTTGAAATCTCAATGACAGTAGGGATAATGTCAGAAAGTGTTGCTTGAAAGCTGTAATAAAGTGAACTTTACAAATAGAGATTGACTATTTGATATATATGTGTGTGTGAATAAACAGAGACATCTCAAATGTAAATAGACACCATGATGTTTATTCAATAGTCATTTAT